AACTATATTTCTAGAGACATGCAGTTTCAGATCACTCTCTTTTTGTCAAATTTCAGATTTGTGTCATTGTCTTATATGCCGAGTTTCTGGTCTCTACTTTTCTACAATTAAGTGGGTGATTTGAGCATATTTTCTCTCTTTCAACCCTCTCTCTCCATGTCTTGCTTCTCTCTTTCTCTCTTCCTCTTTTTCCAGAGTAAATTGATGAGTTGAATTCACTCTCAAAACTCTAAACAATGTTGTATTGCAGCCAAACCTGAGCTCATATTTCTCCTCCACGACAACATCTTTCCTTCCATCTTTTGCTTTTTCTTAGTCTCTGTGTCTGCATTGCTCTCCGTTCTAACCTATTTTTTTTTTTTACACCTATCTGTTAGACTGCTGGCTCCGAACATCTTTATTTCTGTAAATTGTCAGTGCATCTAATTCAAAATTCTTTTAAAACGTCTTGATTTAGATGTAGAAAGCAGCAAGTCGAACCCTTGTTTTAAAGTTCTCCATAGCCCCTTGGTTTTATATTATTTATTTGAAAGAATGAACAGAGCAGTTTTATGTCTATCCTTGTATTGTTCAACTGGTTGATATTAGAAAGTAATTAGTAATACAGTACTTTTTAGAGAGAGTAATTATCACAGTAATCTAATCACATTGTTGAAGAAGCTAGTAATTAAAAAAATTAATTACTTTTTTAGAGTAACTTAACTTACCAGACACTGATTGTGAGATAACAAATTTAAAATGAGATACAAAGTCCCAATATGAGATATTAAGTTGCAACAATGTTGTAATTACAAGAAAGTCAATTGAGAAATGAAGTCACAATTACAGGAACATTACACACATTGGGGCATAATTACTTTTTTTTCTGGGTGGTAACAGGTTTCCATAACAGTCATAAATTACTGTCACACCCTAATGGGTTACTTGGGGTCATGAAATGCTTGTTTATTCAATTCAAACTATTTCTATACACACAATACCATTAAAATTTTGGGGCTGATTCCCAGGTTTTTTTTATGTTTTGTGGTCCCACTTTATATTAGTTGTCTTACTATGGTTTAACGTTTAAATTTATCAAGAGATAACTGCTATTTATTGTGTACATACATGTTTTTAATTTGTAGTTATATTTTAAAAATACCTGGCTGCATGTAAGTATATCTGTAATTCATTCTCTAATTATGTGTGTAGTAAAAAAAAAAAAAATTAAAAGTAATTTATTCCTGTCATGGCAAAGTTTTATTTCCTCCAGAAATCATTCTAATATGCTGATTTGGTGCTCAAGATATATTTCTTCTTATTATCAATGTTGAAAACTGTTAGCTGCTTAATATTTTTTTCAGGATACTTGTATGCATTTATTTGAAATTGAAATCTTTTGTCACATTATAAAATCTTTACTGTAACTTTAGATCAATTGAATGCATCCTTGCTGAATAAAACGGTAGTCTAATAATGATTAACATTTAGAATTACTGCGCATTTAACTACAAACTATTGCCACATTCGGTAGCACTGCAGAACGTACAGTACAGCTGTAATCCGACACGGATTTGTTGAAGTTGTTGAGTTGTGTATGTGTGTATAGGCTTCTATAGGCTTTCAATAATGCAGATTACAGGTCTTACCATGTTTGTGTACTGTATGTCTGTTTTGTGTTTTCAGCACCGGTTTGTCAGAAGCGTCCTGCACCTGCAGTCTTTAGAAAATAAGCCATTGAAAATGTCTTTCATAACATGTTATATAAGCTTGGATGAGACTAAACAGACGTTTCCTTACACCACCCGTCTATTGCAGCATGACAGAGAACTACCCTGCATAACACAGATGCAATGATACTCTGTTCTTTTCTACATTCATGAGTCATGACACAGTATTGAAAAGTCATCTTGTGTCCCCTTTTAAGCTAACAAAACAGAGCCAGTTTTGACTAACCCAAACGGGGCTGTGCTGTGTCCACTATCTTCCAATCGGGGCTGCTGTCTTGTGGTCCAACCCAAACGGAAGAAACTATTTGTTCATTTCTAATTAGGGGCAGGAAATGTTTGTTCATATTGGATTGGGTGGGCCTCCTTCAGATTTCTTGGCACATTTACACAAACTATTTAAGCATCCTGTTTAAATTCCTCCTCTCTGAATGAACAAAATACACAAGTGGGCTTTTGTACACGTACATAAGAGAACTTTGTTCATCAAAAGTCATGGCTTAAAACAATTTGTGTCAGTCAGGCAATGTGGAGCATGTCAGTGTGATATTTCTGGCGGCACTTCATTATGTATTCTGCATTAAATACCAACCACCACCATTAAGGTTCATTTGATATATCTATATTCTGATTGATTTAGTATACTATTATTGTCATTAAGCTCCCTGCATAATGCTTAAGAAGTATGGCTACAATAATATTGGCACAAAATAACAAGGTCCTTTCATGCAAGTACTTTAAAACTGATTCGTTCAAATTTCTTCAAATTCAAACCTAATGTTTGTCCCGCACTGTGCTACGGAAATGAATTATATATACCTCAAATCATGTGGCATACTATGTGATATATGCTTTTACATTTATAAGACTTAAAAACAACAATAAAATGTATAAAAAATCTAACAAAATGAATCAACAAAGTGTTAGGGACCTTATTTATATCTACACTTGAAGGTCGGAGCTTTTAACTTGAGCGAATAAGAAACTACTAGACCCTCTTCAATCTCAAATCCTACACTTTTGCATACGAAAACCACCTACAACAGTCTAGAATGATGCGGTTGACTTTTACACTGGCAAGCATCACTTCTGTACTGTGCACTAGTGAACTACTGACAGAGAATATAGGCAAACAGAAACTGAACAGAAACAGGACATACACGTTACAGATAAGAGATTAAGGGCCAGATTTACTGACAGCTTGCGTCAGCGCAAACCCTCTTTTGGCGTTAAAAAACTACTGTCAGGATTTACTAAAGGCACGCAGCGAAAAATGAGCAATGATAATGCGACTGACCTTATTGCATATACAGTACATTTGTTGGACTTTCCCTTTCTGACGCAAAATTTATGGGAGGGAGAGTATTACATAAGTCATGCAATGTGATTTACTTAGGTTTGTGGTAGTTTATGAGATTGATTTACTGGTATTTGTGCCATTATTTAACGCCCAAATAAAGCATATCTTATACCATTTTTTGCGCTTGACATGACTGATTTTTGCTGTAGGAGGAGGAACTGCAGAGAACAGAGAGAGCGTGTGATAGAAGGGAGGATTTTCTCACTTGTGTTAATTTTTTTGAATGCCAGAGGAAGACAAACATATTGTTTGTCAAGCCACATTATTTTTAATTAGCTGAATGTCACCGGCTATTTGTTTGCGACTCTACGCTAATTTGCGCAGCTCTTGGTAGATTGCATTGGTCAAAATGGAAATGAGCTACAGCATGTGTGTTCTTTAATTCTCCACTCCTATGGTGCTTTTATGGGATCGTGGTCTTACGCTAATTTGCCCTGTTTAGCAAATCTGGCCCTAAGTGATCATTTAGCAAAGAATACGATATATGATTTGATATGATGTATTTCCTTAAACAAAGACTTACAGTAATTGTGTTGTGTGTGTTTTTATGTTTTGTTTCCTTATAATCCATTGACCTTTGCTTAGCAAAGCTAAGTGTGAGTGGGTGTGTGAAACTTTTTGGACCCATGAATCAGCGTTATGATTGGTGCAAAAAAATCAGGGATTATGCCCACAAGAACACCATCACCACAGTCAAAGATTGAGCTGGACCAGTCTCCTTATGGGGGTGTTTGCTTAAGTGGAAATCTTGACAGTATGAAGGACATAATGGATTCTTTGAAGTCTCAGGCCATTTTGGCAGAGCGTATGGTGCCTTCTGTGCATAGACTAGACTGAAGCTTGATGATCAGTGGACTTTCCAGCAGGTCAATGATCCCAAGTATATATCTAAATCTACCCAAACCTGGTGAAGGGCTCGGTCCTACAATGTTCTTAAATGGCATGCTTAGTCTCCAGATTTAAATCTCATTGAAAATCGTTGGTGGGATTCTAAGAGAGCAGTGGCAACATGAAAACCAAAGATTATCAGTGATCTGAAAGCTTTTGCGCATGAGGCATGGGCACAGTTTCCACTAGAGAGGTGACAGAAGCTTTAACGCATTTAGAGGCAACATAAAAGTAAAGGATTTGCTACAAAGTTTTATGTTTTGGGGTTGTTTAGAGACATTTTTTAACAGAGTAACTTAACATTCTCAGAATTACACAAATGTGTATAAATAAACTTTCTATGATAGTGTACTGATACCTTAGTGCAAGTGTTTTCATAAAATGTTATCAAAGACTATAGGTGTTGGGATGTTGAATAAGTGGTAAATAACTGCTAAAATATGGTAATTATAATATTTATTATAATATTTTTAAAAACATCTATGTCTATGAAATGTCGCCATGTACAGTTGATAGCCGGGTAAACTTTAAACTGCGTGATTTCATGTAGCTTTACTGGAAATGCATTTCTCTGAATTGGGGATGTATCTCAACTTTCTGATCATAAACTATGTGGGAAAATAGATCACTGGATTATGATAAGAAGTGTATACAGTTTTTATATTGGTATGCCTATTCCCTAATTTATAAGAAGGGAACACAAGAATCTCAAACTTTCTTTTCATGTTTCCTTATTAGTTACATTACAAGAAATGTTTCCTACTGTGATTTAGAATGTGAGCTTCATTTTATCATCCAAGTGCCTGTGCTGGAATTATTTTATGTTTATTGTGTTTTCAGGTAATCATTTAAGCAAATGTGCTTTGTTGTCTGTTGGTGTGTGCATGTGCTTAACTGTTATCTGGACAGCTGTATGCGAAACTACAACAGGATTAACAGTGAAACTGTAGATGATTTAAATCACGCTAATACTGGGTGTGGAGTCCTGTTCTATGAAAATGAATATCTTTCTTGTCTTCTTTCTCATTCTCTCTCTATCTCTGTAGGATCGGTTGTTCTTTGTTATGGAGTATGTAAACGGAGGAGACCTGATGTTTCAGATCCAGCGCTCACGAAAGTTTGATGAAGCTCGTTCCCGTTTCTATGCAGCTGAGGTCACATCAGCACTTATGTTCCTGCACCAACATGGCGTCATCTACAGGTATACTCACACAGAGTAGAAGTCAACAGGAAATGTTATTCAGAGCCTGTTTTACTTTCATAATGTGTCATTTTTATGAATGTTGAATGAGTTTTATGAGATAGATTTTCAATGGGAAAAAATATAGGGCAGGATTTCATTTTATCAATCAAAAAAACTAGTGGATTGTGAAAAGTATAGGTATTGCATACCAAAATGGAGCCAGGTGGTTTAGACATTATTTTTGATTGAAAAAAATTACAAAAAATTGACCCTAGACTAAAAACACTTTAGTCTAGGGTCCAATTCTCACTGTCTCACTAGTTTTTTATTTGCATGCATATTACTAGGATTTTAGCTGTTTATTAGTGCTTATAAAGCACATATGAATGCCTTATTTTGCATGACCTTATTCTAAATCCCTTAATCCTACCCAATACCTAAACTTAACAGCTACCTTACTAACTATTAATAAGCAGTAATTATGAGTTTATTGAGGCAAAAGTTGTAGTTAATACCTAGTTTGTTAATAGTGAGTTAATAGTGAGAATTGGACCCTAAACTAAAGTGTGACCAAAAAATAAATAAATGCTTAATAAACATTAATATTTAATAATAATAATAACATCAATAATGCATTGTTGTTGTTGTTTCTTACATATAGCTGTCTCTGCATATTAAGCTACGGTATGAACACCCATTTTGACAAAACAAAGTGCACAAAAAGTGCACACTTCACCTTAATAGTCAACATGATATCACAATTGACCCTTTGTATGTTCTTAATGCCCATTTATATTCCTGGTCTTAATGTACACAATATTGACAAAATTGACTATATTATTTCATGTTACATTTTTTGGTGACACTAGCTGTGTAAAAATGGCACACTTTAAAGACACACACCTGTCATACCATGAGACTGCAGTGTGATCAGCTCCCACAAATGATGCCAATCCTACCCAGGCATCATCCTAACTGGCACTCAAAGACTTTAAATGCTTGTATTTGTTCCAACTCTGAGGTAGATGCGAATCCTATTTTACCCTGGAGAGTTAGAAAAAGATCACGCCATTGTCTCTGTAGCATTTAGTATCAGCTAACCTCCCTCAATGAAATAAAGTCACCATTCAGGCCAGAGCAGGTTTCATGCTCCCCAGGGACAGCCGAAGATACAGTTTATACTGTGGGCTGACCTCATCTCTGAGCTCTTGATACAGTTCAGATTTTTTGAACAGAGGCTGATAAGATGAAACAACTGTGAAAAGTCTCAAAGGACTAATCCATTACCTTTTTTCTGGGTCTGCAGACTCTACACAAATCTACAAGAGAAGCCCCCTCATTTTCTTAGCATTTCTTTATGCACACACTCACCCATTCTAACAGGTATTGACACACACGCACACACACACACACACACACACAAACACACACACACACACTACGTTCATAAAGCAACAAATACAGTTTGTAATTTTTAAAACTTTTAAAACAAGACTTACGTCTTGTTTAGAGTGATAAAATGACAAAACAGTTGCTAGTCTTGTTTGGAGTGATAAATATGGAAAAATACAGTTGTCAGTCTAGTTTGGAGTGATAAATATGGCAAATTACAGTTGTCAGTCTAGTTTGGAGTGATACATATGGCAAAATACAGTTGTCAGTCTTGTTTAGAGTGATAAATATGGCAAAATACAGTTTTCAGTCTTGTTTAGAGTGATAAATATGGCAAAATACAGTCGACAGTCTTCTTTAGAAATAAATATGGCAACACACAGTTTTCAGTCTTGTTTAGAGTGATAAATATGGCAACATACAGTTTTCAGTCTTGTTTAGAGTGATAAATATGGCAAAATACAGTTGTCAGTCTTGTTTAGAGTGATAAATATGGCAAAATACAGTTGTCAGTCTTGTTTAGAGTGATAAATATGGCAAAATACAGTTGTTAGTCTTGTTTAAAAGATATAAATATGGCAAAATACTGTTGTAAGTCTTGTTTAGAGTGAAAAATATGGCAAAATACAGTTGTCAGTCTTGTTTGGAGATATAAATATGGCAAAATACAGTTGTAAGTCTTGTTTAGAGTAAAAAATATGGCAAAATACAGTTATCTGTCTTGTTTAGAGAGATAAATATGGGAAAATACAGTTCACTAAGTGAACCGAATACATTATTCAATACACTACTGTCTGCTCATATGCACAGGACAATTTGAGTGTGACACCTGTTGATAAATACTGTTGTCAATCCCAAACATTGACTATGTGAAGTTGTGAATGTAGCCAAACACATTAATTCTTTCCCAGGTACAAACTTGTATGTATATGCAAAATCTCGCTGTCTTTCTGTCTATCACGCAATCAGACTTACAAGCAAAAATATACACTGGAAGCTGAATAGATAGGCTGTGATGGGTCACATGACACGAGAAAAGCACAAAAAGCAATATTTCTTATCCTCAGATTGGGTAGACACTGTAGTACTGTGATAATCCTACTGCTGACTGCAGCAAGATACAAGAGGTCAAACTACACACGACCCCCTTTGAGACAGTTGTCATTATTGCAGTACTAAAGCCCCTATCTCCCCTTCTTAACTATGTTATCCTGTCAAAAGTGCTTGCCATATCAGTGTGCTGATGCTTTTAATGATTTATTCTAGTCTAGTAAAGTGTTTTAAGTTCATAAATGTAAGTGAGCTGTCAGTGTCCATCTCCTTCTGCAGGTTTTGTTAATAGTAGTTATCCAAACATAGATCCGCCTTATGGTTGCAGGAATAGCAGTAAGTTCCCCAAAGTATTATATTAATAGTTCAATACCTGATTTAAACATATGATGATCGAATGTTTCCATATTTGTGGATTGTGATTTATCAGGTTTTGTAAGTGTCACTGTAAATGTGTAGATGGTTTTACATGATAGATCTGGCCTCGGGGAAGCGCTGAGGAATGTAAGTGGAGGTTGGATGAATAAGAGGATTAGAGCACCTTTCTGATGAATTCGAGGCCTCTTTATCCCTCAGCAACACCAAATTCTCTCCACTTTTTCTCTCCAGCTCGTCTATTTTTCTTGAGGAGTAAAATTGGGGAGAAAATCAAAAAAATATACTGTACACTTCTAATTTGTATAAGCACTGACTGTGTACACTTATAGGATATCAGGTTGATATCAACAGCGTCTCTAACACACGGACACTTTTCAAGACATTCAACTCTCTGTCCACCTCCACCACCCACCTCCTCTTTAACTGCTGATGATTTTGCTAACTTTTTCACCAACAAAACATCAACTATCAGCTGTCAGTTCTCAGCTCCACACACACAGGAACCCAGACCAACCTCTCCCACAGCCAAAAACCTTCTCTCCTCCTTCTCTCCACTAACCGAGGAAGAAGTATCTAAACTTCTCCTCTCCAGTCATCCTACCACCTGCCCTCTAGATCCCATCCCCTCACACCTTCTACAAGCCATCTCTCCCACACTTCTACCAGCACTCACACACATCATCAACTCATCCCTCCTTACTGGCATTTTCCCTACAGCATTCAAGCAGGCTAGGGTAACTCCACTGCTTAAAAAACTAACATTAAACACATCACTTTTATGGCGCTTTTCCACTGCATGGAACGGTACGGTTCGGTTCGGTACGGCACGCTTTGGCGCTTTTCCACTGCATGGTACAGTACGGCTCGGTTCGGTACGGCTCACTTATGGCGCATTTCCATTGCATGGTCCGGTACGGTACGGCTCGCTTCGGCTCGCTTTAAATGGTACCTGCTCTGTTGAGGTTCCAAGCGTACCGTACCGATACTAAAATGTGACGTGAAACACAACAGATCACTGATTGGTCAGAGAGACAGAATCGTCACTATCAGCGTCATTGTATTTGCGACACGAGACACTAAACCCACTCGATTTAAATAGCCAGTAGACAACAGCCACCGCTGTAGCACCTGTTTTAAAACTACTTGCTTGACTTGCTTGAAGAAAAAAGAAAGAAAGAAAACTTCCATAAAAAAGAAATGGCTGAATCGTGGTCAGTGGACGAAGTGCAGACGTTCGTCTCGTTGGTTGCCGAGGAGCGGATAAACTATAACGGTCCATCTATAATCCCACCCACTTTGAAGCGGTAAGTTACTGCAGTGGAAAAGCAAACCGAGCTAAAGCGAGCCGAGCCGTGCCGTGCTGAGCCGAGTCGTACCAGCAGTGGAAAAGCGAAGCGAGCCGAACCGTGCCGAGCCGAACCATACTGAGCCGTACCGAGCCGTACCAGCAGTGGATAAGCGCCATTAGAGAATTACAGACCTGTCTCTCTCCTACCATTCATTGCAAAAACACTTGAACGAGTTGCTTTCAACCAAGTATCATCTTTCCTGTCTCTAAACAATCAGCTGGATGTCAACCAATCTGGCTTCAAGAAAGGGCATTCAACCCGAGACCACATTACTGTCGGTCACAGAAGCCCTGCGGATCGCAAAAGCTGTTTCCAAATCATCAGTTCTCATTCTTCTGGATCTGTCTGCTGGCTTCGACACCGTGAATCATCAGATCCTTCTGTCCACCTTCTCATCACTGGGCATCACTGGAACTTCCCTCCACTGGTTTGAGTCCTATCTCACAGGTAGGTCCTTCAGGGTCGCATGGAGAGGCGAGGTATCCAAAGAACATCAACTGACCACAGGGGTTCCTCAGGGTTCAGTTCTTGGACCGCTCCTCTTCTCTATTTACACCACATCACTGGGACCCATCATACAGGCAAATGGTTTCTTTTACCATTGCTATGCTGATGACACAAAGCTCTAAACCTCATTTCAGCCAGATGATCCCACAGTAGCTTCACGTATCTCAAGCTGTCTGGCGGACATCTCGGCATGGATGAAGGAACATCACCTGCAGCTCAACCTGGCAAAGACTGAGCTTCTCGTCCTCCCTGCCAATCCGCCTCTACAGTACGACTTCTATCCAGCTACAGCTAGATTCATCATCAATGACACCATCAAGAATTGGTGACACCATCAAGTCG